CTTCATGACTATTGTGTGCGGATGCCCTTAAAAAAACATCATTAATTTTCTAAAACCATATAAAGTGGTGTGTGGACATAAGGTACACTGCGCGAAGGACCTATCGCATTTTTATTAATGAAAGGCCCAAAATTCAGACCTCGATTGGGAATCACCCTAACATCATTAAAATCGATTCAATAACTCTAGGAAAATTGCCCTGGAGTGTGAGGAATGATATGCAACTAATGGAGTGTGGCACACTTGAGGTATAGGTTTCAAAATGTCTTAGGAAATATTCTAAACGCTTAGAATACAAAAAGTTATTCATGCACGTTGCGCACTTCATAGGACGGATGGAAAGGACTTTAAGATCATCCATAACTATCTGAGTACTTTGTTAAAAAGTGTACCACACTTCATCGCTTAGGATAGAAAAACTTATTCATGCGTGTTCCGCCCCTGAGAGGTCGAAACTAATGAACTTCACAATCATTCACAAAGAATCCAAGTGCTTTGATAAAACGCGTGGCACACTTAATTTATATATCACTGAATTGGCTTGAGCGGTTTATGTGGGATAACTGTACTGCATTGCTAGGCCCTTAAAATTTAGTGTTTAAATGTTTAGCAGAATCAGAAATAAATTCAAAAAGTAGTTCGGGACTTCAGCAATTGATATATTATGTCAAGCTCCAAAAAACATTGGACTAGCATACTCCACAAGTCTTTCTATTCTATATCGTTATATCTTCACACCGAAAATATTTCAACAGAAATAAATATCATAAGTGGATCAACATAATAGTCAGTTTTTTCCTATTCAAAGTTCAGAACAAATGCTCAATACATTTAAATATGTGGTGCAACAAAATGAGCTTGAAAATGATTCTTCTTGCTAAATGGATTATGTATAGGAAAGCAAAGACTAAAAATCCATAGGGATTACTAAGTCAAATAGTATCCGGAGATTACAAACCAGGAACATAATAAGATATTACATTGGACAGTACTGAAAGATAAATTTGAATAGGAAGATACACAGGTGTCACGCCCATTGCCATGTTTATCTCTATGGTGCATCATGATTAGGCATATTAACCACTGGTGGCCAATGCTCTGTAAGAGAAACAATAGACCTTAGAGCGCCATCTTCATCAAGGTACTGCACCTCATGTACGTTGCCGCTTGAGTTCTCCAAAATGAAAATTGCATGATGAAAGCTGAATTTCAGGAAGACAAAGGACAAATCTATGCTAGATGACCTGATTTGCATAGAATGAATGCCATCGTCTAAATCAACTCCAAGGAATAATTGATGCCACATGGGATGCTGACAGCGGCTTCCAAAAGATGATGCAAGGTTTATCTCTGACATAGGAAACCATGCTGTTTCTTCATGCTCTCGTGATGATAATCTCCATGTGCGAAGTGATAGATTGTCACTATGAACAAATGATATGATACCTGAACTGCTCCTAGAGATGTGGTAATCAAAGCAGGAAGTGACACTTACAGGGAACTAGACAGTGGAGAAGACAAAAGTATCTATGTTGAAGCAAACCACAAATCCCACCACATACATCATGTATAGATTGGAACCAACTAGGAGACAGTATGGATCCCAATGGAACAATGGTCCATCATTACCAGGAGGAGTTCAAAGCGGTGGGGAAACAAAGAGCGACCATTTGTTGTTTTTTAGGATGCAAACATGGACATATAGGTCAGCAACTAAACTGAAACTCAAACCAGAATAAGAACGGACGAAAGGGCCTGCTGCTTGCTTAACGAAGAACAAAAAATTAGGCCTGCTGTCAATGAGAATGACACCAAATTGACCATATAAATTAGAGGTGTGCTGATGTTGGAACAGGGGGACTCTAGGCATTCTAGGGGCTAAGAATGACCGAGAAAATGGAGGATTTGGATAGACAGAGAAGAACCCGCCGTCGAGACCTCTGACCAAGACGAGCAACTCACCTGCTTCAGATGCAAGGATGTTCTCCATGGCAAAGGTTGCCACGTCCACCCTAGCAAGTAGAGCAGCTTGTCCTGGATCAGGAGGGGAAGCAACGACATCCACAAGACGTACGTGCAACTCGAAGAGGCGCTCGAATTCAGCAATGAATCCGAGGACGGCTGGAGCATTGCGGCGAGCATACTCCATGATGAACTGCTGGGAGGTACAGATCTCAAACCATCTAGGACTCACTACAGAACTACGAACAAGGGATCTAGTGCATCCTAGCCTGATGAAAATCTCACTCAAAATATTGTTATCTAAGCGAGATGAAAAATCTATCTGGTCAATGTCCATGGTGGATAGAGAACGACAGATGTTAGTTTGGGGAAGAAGGGTGGTATGGGGTGTAAGGGTGGCACACTGGCACCTATCCAGCAGGTGCGCCAGGAAAAAGGTGTTGATATGGCACACCGGATAATAAAGTGTTGATGTGGGACACCACATATAATAAAATAACTGAGAGAATTGGGAAAGGGAAACCACATAATAAAATAACTGAGAGAATTGCTAAAGTGATGAAATAAATATTACAATCATGATAGGTCTAACTAAAAATCCACAGAATGGCTTAACCATAAATGTCTGACACTCAAGTACATTATTTAGCTCTAATAATTAACACAGGGATACTCGACCAATTCAGATGGAGGACTTGAAGTGGTTGTCATCAATAGTTGTGTATATCATCCCAATGTAGATTTGCTTCGTAATGACTTGCCTTGGTAATTATGCCAAGTTGTAATCGGAAAATGTGTCAACTATAAGTTGAATAAGGAAATAGGCTAAATGAATTTAATGATGTGATGTCTTACATTATCTCGTCCTGGCTGATGTCCAATGCACTACGGATTAACTTCAAGCTAACGCCATGCTGAATATCGCTGTGTTAGGGCAAATGTGAGAAAAAAATGGAGTTATCCTTTGGATGGATCATGGAACTTTATGTTTTAACTATTGGTCGTGCATGGCACGGGGACCTATATGTTATTTGTGAGATTTGTGGATATACATGTTTAATGGTCAAAGGAACTTAGTTCAGGATATTGCATTTAGCTTTCGTAATAATCAAAGAACTTTATGTACCAGCCATACAGTACTTACCGGTAAGCTGGGTCTCGCAGGATGGCAAATATCTTGTCCTTTGTTGACGAATCTAAGGGCACCTCCGACGGGGTAATTGACGGCCCCTTTGGGAAAACAGTTGATGCTGTGGAGTCAGGTTCCATTCTTGCCTATGAGAGGTAATGTATGTGAGAAAGAATGTATGTATCATTTAGGTACATTTTACAAAAAACACGAAGAATTACCTTGTGGGTGTTTCTCTTACGAATGTCTAATGTGGTGTGTATGGTATACAAGTAGTGGTGCGTGGTGTCATTGTAGTTTTCGATTAACCTGCAATATTTTTAAAATGTATGGCTATGTGTAAAAAAGAATGTTATATGTGAAAAATTTATGACACAAAAAAAAGATGCGGTTTAAAATAACCTGATCTTGAAAGCTTTAATCTGAAGGAATCTGTCATTCATGGCAGGTTTGCCAAATAGTTGAACATAGTCGCCATTGCTGCAAATAAGATGTAACGATTGAAACAGTGGGCTTGTTGACCAACTAGTTGAAAAACTAGGACTGCAAATTATTATTTTTATCTTAATACATAAATCAGACCTTGTTGACCAAGCAAGTTTAAAGTCGAAAGTTGTTTCCGGCCTGACAGAAGAACAAAAAAATGGAGCAAAAGGTTAAATGCATTGTTTCTGAAGTTCTTTGGATACAAGGAGTTTACTGACGATGAAATTAGTACCAGAAAGATATGTTGATTAACCCTGTGGCATCCTGTAGATCGAAGGACCAGTGATTCATTCGAATAGTAGAGTGTGAAACAGTTCCTATCAGGATCACCTATCAAATGAAGACATATATTAAGAACAGCTAGTGGATGGTTTTGAAAATCTAAATGATTTTATATATAGACTCACTGATGACACGGTGTCTCCGTCAACTACGATAGGGTAACGCTCTATGTCCTCCAGGAATCCATCATACAACTGCTTAATTGTCATAGGCATGAGAGTGGATGGATGAACCTGTACATTTAATATGGTTTAACAAAATATCAATGATTTCTGCAATGCCAGTTTGAAAGCAAAGGCCGGTGGCAATACTCATGGGGATGACGGTAGTGGCAGTTGAGCGTGCGGGGGAAACCATCATGGCTTCACCGGTGAATAGAGCATTCGTCTTGTTGGCATTGTGATCCATGACGTCGGTGTGTAGGAGAACGAGGTAGGGATGGTTGAGTTATATACAGCTTTGAGGTACTAGCGTATAGAGAGTTCAAGCAGGGCAGCAGTTTAAGTTGATTTGACATGTAGGTGGGAGCTGGCCAGGAGGGATCCAAGGGAGGCGTTATCTGAATGATAATGCAGTTTTTTGACTTGTTTCTCAGTGGGATACACGGTTAAGGAAAATAGTTTTTTTTCAGTGTTGATATGAAAATGGGGCAAACTGACTCTGAGATACCAATGACGAGTTTAAGGCTCTCCCAATGGAGAATTGTTGATTAACCAATTCATGTGAAGAGGGAGTGTATGCCGTGGAGTAGATGAGGAGGGAAAGTGGGCGTATTAAAATAATATAAAACATGCATCAATTAGAGAGGAGTGGTACAACGCCATGTCGCCCATGCCCTACTATCCAGAGTGTTGCACAGCTCACGGGTGAGTCAAAATGACCAGTCGACCATGCACTCCTCTCAAACAGCGATGCAGTAGAGATAAGGTCGATTTGACCTCACAACTTTACTGTTCGACCGGCGCGCCGTATGGGCAGGACCCGGACACTGCCCCCTTCAGTAGCGCCGAAAGCATGCGTACTATGGTTGGTTGTAGATAGCTACATACAATAAATTCAAGGTCTATACATATGAGTGGAATGGAACATGAATCAGCACAACACTTCTTCTGCAAGAACAAAGCACTTCTTCTGCAAGAACATGTCGACTGGAAACCCGATACTTCGATGTGCATGCGGCATGCCATGCGCCAGGAAAGCTGGATCTGCGGTGGCGAGGCAGGACAAGTTCTACTTCAGCTGCGTGAACTATGGGGTAAGAATATATAGATAAGACAAAATGTAGCAGATTCCGTTCAGTACCTGCACTGGCTAAAGATTCTTTTGCTCTTGTTTCTTGATTTTTATGTACAGGTTCAGAGGAGAGCGTGTGAGGTCTACGTGTGGGAGGATGTACTGGAGGAACACGTGCAGAAGAGAATCCAAGCTGAACGAGTGAAGCTGCGGGAGGTGACAGAAGACCGAGACGAGTTCATCGAGGAAATGGCTGATAGGAACAGGGAGATCAGGAACCTCAGGACGATGAACAAGGTGCTACAACTTGCACTCGCGTCCACCACGCCAGTGGTAGCCATGATCGCAATCGGGGCTGCTTGGGTTGGGAAATGAATAGTTGGTTCGGATTAAGTGGGAACAAATGGGTTAGCAAACCAGGAAAGTACCTTCCTTTAGTTATATTTGCAACCTTATCATTAGTGTGAGTCTTAGGACCGGCATCATCCTTCTTCTTAAGAAGTGCTTCAATGCTAGTAGTGTCAAGTAAGCAGTAGATTTAAATTCCGGGCTTTTAGTTAAGTGGATGGTGTTGAACTATCAAGAATTTGTATTCCCTGCATTCTACGTTTCGTGGTCACCCACCAAGTTATTTTTGTACCCGTCATGCATGTTTTCATTTTGCACAAGTGTAGCCATGCCCTAGGGATCTATGGATGACGAAAAAGGAACACATTTCATGAAGGTGCAATTTTTTTGTACCAATGAACTTAATATTCATGTGCCGAAGAACCTAATAAGATCAAAGAAGTTCGGGGAAGCTGGCAGTGAACCAAGGAGTATGCCTTTTACATATGCACTTAATATTCAACAATTAATATACCTGAATGCCATCAACACAGAACCTTTCGTTTGTGTGTGCCAACCGTTGTAGTATACAGTCTTGTTTGGATGTTCTATCTGAACACCAAACAACTGTACATTTCATTCTGGCTGTATTTGACCGTTAGAAACAAGGTGGTTTAATACTGTACAACTATACCAAAATATGAACCTTAATGGATCCATGTTTCATATGGCATTTAGTGGATTAGATAATTAATACAATTGGAAAAAAAGATAATAACCCAATGTTTTGAGCTCAGCAGATTGAGTACAGTTGCTTCATAAACTATTAATAAAATGTAGCGTGCTTTCTGCAGGAGGGTGAAATAGTCATTTGTAACTGAATCTACTGTGGCTCAGATTTCAAGGGCTTTTTGGAAGCCAAGGGCGGGTAGCTGTGTGTCATGTACAAAAAGATTCCAAACACTTGTCTAGACACCTAGAACCTAACACTTGTTGAAGGGAAGAGCTGTGAGAGGGTAGAGTCCATTGTCATACATTCATTCGCATTTGGTGCTCCTCTCTCATTCTCCCCAAGGCTGAAGAACTAGGATCTCCTTCCCACCCTGGATGAAGAACTAGGAGCTCCTTCAAAACAAGGATGAAGGACTAGGAGCTCCTTCCCCAAAAAGATGAAGAACTAGGAGCTCCTTCTCCCCAAGGATGAAGAACTAGGAGCTCCTCACTGGTTGTACTGGAAAAAAAGGTACCACATGTTTGTTGTTCGAGTTGGGCAGTGTTTGTTGATTTCCTCCCTGATGATTGGATCTTTAACAACATATTTATCATTTTAGTAGTTTGGTTTCTGTGGCATTTCCAAACGCAAGTAGTTTTTCTTGTTCTTGATTGTTTGCAATTGTTTGGGATGGGATATTTAGGGTAAGATTAGAGATACCTGATACATCTTTATGGAAGTTGTGAATACCTGATGCACGGCATGGAGTTTTTTTTAACTCTAACCTGAGATACCTAATGCATGTCATGGATGTTATATACATGACGTTGAAGAGAACTCCCATTAGATTCTGTGATAATAATAGCGGTAGCAAAGTGTTACAATTCATAAGTGTTAATGGTTTGCATCAGCAAACAGTAAAACGATACATATATAAAGAAAATATGCATGGTGGGGGTCAACATATCAGTAGTAAGCTTTTGGAAAATGATCTAAAAATAGGGAGCTTTAGTGTCCATTTTTTATATCTGCACACAAATGAATTCTTAGCTGGAACTTAACATAAAAAAAGCTATTTTGTCTGGAAGAAATGTGAAAAACATGAGAATGACTACTTAACAAGAGAGGACATGTTAACAGAATACAATATCCGTGGACTTAATTTTGTGTCGATTTGCATTCTATAGTATGGCTTGTATATTCAGTATTTATACACAGTGGGATTAAAGATTTTTTAGAGGTCCGTCGGCTGTAAGGATAACTTAGAAGGATTGGTAATGGTTTAGATTAGAAAATCATTCTTACTATGTTGACTGTATTGTTGTGAGTGTACAATTGGGGGAAATGTTATGATGTCTGTAGAGATTGACAAACTGATAATTATTTCTAGGTTCATACAACAATGATGACCATCTTTTTTTAATCGTGATATATAGTATATATGTCGCCTGACTTTGTTTCTAAATACATCGCAGAAAATGGTGTCTGGTTCGTCCTCATCTGATTACAAGCAATCCGATGAGGAATCATCAAAAGGGTTCGATGTGTATCCTACACAACACATCGGTACACCAGAAGAGTTAGAGTCAGATGGCGCTAGAAAGGGCAAGAAGAAGGCATCACAAAACCCAATAAATTCAAGGAGCAGCATAAAAAATATGAAGGCCTTGATTGATGGGCTGTTTGAAGAAAAAAAGGCTCTGGTACGTGAGATGGGGTTCGAAGGACTATTGGAATTACCAGCAATAATAAAGGCAAACAGGCAACAATCCATGTGGCTTATGAGCAAAGTTGACGAGAAGGCATCTGCTATCATAATTGATGCTAGGAGAGACTTACCTTTCGACGACGGAGACGTCGGCAAGGTACTGGGGGTGCCATCAGTAGGATCTCCTGTTAACAAGAATGCACCGCCGCACGTGGCAGGTACTGTACGTGAGATCTTAGGAATCGGCAATGGAGAAAAAAAGATCACACCCATAGTTAACATAGTGAAGATTCGGTATGGCAGAGCTATGACAAAGGCTGAAGCAGACAAGTTCAAGGTTGCCTTCACAATTTGCGCGATGACTTTCCTCCTGGCACCTTCACTGAAGCACAACTATTTCATGACAGATTATTGGAATGCCTTGCACATACCTGATATGATTCAAATGTTCAATTGGGGATGGTACATTAGAGAAGAGCTCCTTTCTTCTGCTGGTAGGGTGAAGTCTGAACTGCTAGGTGGGAAACTGAAGTCAAATCTCACTGGATGCACGTTCTTCTTGCAGGTTTGAGCGAATGTCATTGCTTCGGATTCAACTTGTGACGAAACAATTAATCACAAATTTGTTTCATGTCACATGTTTTCTATCTTGACAACGTCGAACGAGAAGATAAGAACCTGCCCCACGATGTGTTCCCTAGGTGCAAGGAATACTCACAGAAGACTATCTCTGATGTTATTGATGAAGACACGACAACTGGGAAAGATGCAGAGATTGTAGTGTATGGACACCTACTGGTAAGTTAAGATACAAAACAAGTATAGTAAAATAATCTTGTGATGGAAAGGATATTGTTTTTCAGTTAGTAGGACATGTGTGGTATACTTATTGATTGAGCTATTACAAATGGCCGCGTTGTAGCATATCTAACTATGAGATGACTTGATGCTTATGTCATATTCGTACTAGCATGGTTCCCATTTGCTTTTACTCTGTCTGGTATGTTTATATAGATAAGTCACCTTTGCCTATTGCTTTGCAATGATGAAACCTTTCTGGATAAATATTTACAGCCAAGGCATCCGGGGACAGTATGCTACAGCCGTAATACCATGGCAACAACAGCTCAGAAAACAACTGATGGATACGGGATTGGGTGCGGCACAGAGGGAATTGGGGGTGATAAAGTGTTCACAGATGTAAGTTTTCATATAGGTCAAATATATTGATGAGTAAGTAATATCTGGAACATAAACTGACATCATTTATCGGGAAAACTTCGATAAAATTCAGTTTGCAGGTATTATTATCAACAAGGCCGAGCAGTACTCCAACAAGTGCAAGACAGCTGTAAATGAGGCATCAAGGAAGGGAGCAATATTAAACAAGAGACACGCAGAAGGATGGGATGAGATTGTCAATGATACTAACGGGTTAATACTCTCAGAAACTGAGAAGATAATTGCAGACATCAACCAGATAACTGATGCAATGAGGGCACGAAAGCAAAGGCCCAATTATTCAACCCAAGCAGGTATTGTAATTCGCAAGAATAGAATTATGTTTGTTCTTAGAATAAAAACTGTCAACTATCTAACCCGTTTGTTGTGTAATTTCTCAGATGTTCAAGGGGTTCAAGGGGATGCAGAGAATGCACTAAGCATAGAGTCGGCAGAGGGAGCTTCCGCTAACGTGGAACCATTGGCAAAGAGCAAAGTAGGTGTGAAAAGAAAGAAGGTTGTTACATCAAGGAGGCCCACACCAAAGAGGGCAAGGATAGAGAGCTCTGAAGAATCTGAAGGTGCTCAAGAAGAAGCAAACAAAGCAATAGATGATCTGATTGAAGCAGCAGATGAATACAGTAGGTTGCACAGTGGGATTGTTGGCAATGCGACATGGCTGTTGGACAATACTACAGGGAACAACTTGGAGATGTCAGTGGTGTGTGGGGCGGCAAGAAATGAAGTTATATGCTCTCCAAAAATAGCAACAGGAACTGATGAAGCTGCAGAGAACCAAAAGGATGGTGTTGAAAATAATCAATTGTCAATAGTTCCTTCAGGACATGATGAGGACTTAGGTGGATGTTTATCAATAGATCCTCCAGAGATGCATGGGAAGTTCAAAGTTGTAATGTCAGGTCTTAGGAAGATGGACTTGATGAATGCTTTTACAGTCGTTTCAACGTCCAACGGTATGGTTTAAAATCAGTATGATGGATCATCCTTTGTGACTGGAAAAATAATGAATCGGGGAAGCTAATTCATTATTTACTAACTTGTTTCAGACGTGTCGGTTGCTTCCGCAAACATCACCCTGGTTCTGCAGCAACCAAGATGCAAACTCCTGAAGGTAACCATGATTCTTTTACCAGCTGGGGTTAAATGTTAATAGATACAACTAATACAGTTAGGTCATGACCTGCGTGCTAACCTTGCCGTGTTTGCCATGCAGATTCAGGAATGCAGATTGTTGCCACTCCAGCACCAAACCAAGTGTTTGCAGGTACATCTTCAAGGACTTCTCCAGTTAGCCTCAACCGCCAGATGTCTGCTGTCAAGCTTGACATTAGGGAGGAGATAGAGGAGGCGGCTATCAACCTCAACGTCACTATGTCACAGGGATCATTTAGCACACAGCCTCAGCCAAAGAGGGTGGTGAGGCCTGGGAAATATGCAAGGTCTCCCTTTGTAATGGGTTATGACCCTCCTACTAGAGCTCCAGCGAATGTAGTGCAGATATACAAGCTATTCTATAGGGAGAACGCGAACAAGCTAAAAGAGTAAGCTCTCAGCAGGAAAAAACCATAGTTCGAGTTTGTTTTTCATCCTTACCATTGGTAAAGCCTAGTTTGTTGACCGCAATATGTTCTATTTCAACTGTGCAGCATGTGGATTATCAGCACCAACCCAAAATACATGGACATCAGTGGGGAGCGGCTCCGTGAGATGCTACGCGATGGTGGTGAGGTGGATAGTGTGCTGATGACATTGGTGATGAGAAGGTACCAACAGATGGATGTGGTCTTTGCTGCTGCAAAAGGGGAAGGATGTTGGCGACATTGGCTGGAGCCAGATTTTGTGGTGAGGAACTTCAGTTGAAATCATTGATCAATACAAAAAATTCCATGCTTCAGCTAAGTGTTACTCATAAATTAGAAACATGCAGAACCATGTTAGCAGAGGAGACAACATTTCAAAGCTGAGGTACATCAAGGACATGTTCGTGGGGCCGCATATCACTTACGAGGTTCACAAGTGCACCGAGGTGACCTTTTAAAAAGACAAAAGTGATTTAAAAGATTTGATAAATAATGTTTCTTTAATAAACTCCAGTGCCTTTTTTCCAATTAACATGTTGTGTTGCCAGTTAAGTTCGACTTCAAATGGTCTACATACATATGGGACTTTCCAAGGGCGAAGATTTTTGTCCTCGACCCAACAATGAACAATGGTGACGAGTCTGATAAGGTAATTCAGCTCAGGCACAGGAAGGTTGCAGACGAGCTTCACAAGGCTATAGAGATATGCATAAAGTCATTCTTCTCTGGATGGGAGCCAGACATGAGGTCGTGGAATACATGCTTCCCAAGGGGCCTGGCAATAGGGATATGCAGAAAGTAATGATTTGTTGTGTGAATAATGCTTACTTTATGTAATCATGTCTATTCATAAGCATAGTTACTGACATTCTGAATTTGACATGATTTTCAAGGAAGACACGGGCATATATGCTACTCACTTTGGAAGGAATTGGATGGGAACTAAACTGAAAGGGACATGAACCCGGTAAGGAATTTCCAACAATGAAGATGCTTGCAGAACAAGTGGGTTAGCATGTTGATTTGCTACCTATAACTAATTTTTTAAGAAACGCAGGGTGACGGTGTCATGCATGCTAGGATGAACATGCTTGTGGACTTGCTTGGTTCTGAAGGTAACATTGGTCATCTGCCTGCGAGGTACAAGGATTGCCTTATTCGCAAGAACGACAAGATCAAGGATTGACTTGTTCGCAAGAAGGACAATATGAACAAGTTATTTTGTCGAGAGTGGATGGACTACTTGAATTGAATGTTTGTTTAGCCTCGGAAGAGAATTCATAGAACTTCCCAAACTATTTGGTCTTTAAAACTATGATGTGATCAGAATTAATTTGCTTTCACTTGGTGAACATGTTAATTTATTAAATTTGCAAGCTGTTCTCAGTTAATTGTTTCGCATACGGACCAATGTGGGATCATTCAAAATACCACATAATAGCAGGGGTGATTAGCAGTTCAGAAGGCAGAAATAAATTGTAGATATGGCGGAGTCTATAAAGGTGGAACCCATATATAATTATCAGTGTGACACACTAGCCTAGTTGTCCTTGGATCCTAGAGTCCTCACTGTCTGGCCCAGACTGATCACCAACGGTAGCCGCTATCAGTTCAATGTCTTCTACTGCGTGCCTTGCCGCCTCCATGAATGATCAAAACTTCACGAGGGTTTCGGCTTTCTAGTATTTTGGCAATAGTGACATAGCGGTCCGGATACTATATTTATGTTTTTGCTCGTCTGTGGAGTAAAGCAACAACTTGCAAGTCTCCGACCAGTTTATCAAGATGACTAGTCGGTGTAGAGTCCTACAGTCATGAGATCACTGACCCTACGTAAAAATTCATCAAATCCACCAACAAATCCAAACAGGAACTGAACCTAAGCGGTTTTAAATTTGTAAATTTGGAAGCATTGTACTAGGTATTTTTACAGAAAATTGTAGGTGTTGCAGCAGCCAAACCATGCCAGATAGCTGGCACCGCCCCTGGTCATTAGGACGAATGGAATAAGTTCACGATCTGATTAATCACCTTTTCTGGGAAATAGGCAACTAACTTGAATATGTTGATACAACATTGTTAAAGTACTGGGAATGCGTTTGATTGATGGTTTTATAAAGGGAAGAGAGGAGTACGGAGTACCTTCTTAATCATGAGGTTTACAGTGAAAATGGCCCTGAGGTCGAATCCTTTGTTTTGCCACGGATATTTGCATGATCCAAATGAAGCATAGGTATAATGCGACCAAACTTCATAATTGGAAATAGTACACTATATGTTGGCAGTGGTCTTCAGCTAACCTGGTTGGGAAAGAGAATGAACCGTTTCCCCCTCAGTACATATGCGACTTCGGAAAACATCCTGGATTAAACAGAAAAATATGCATTGCATAAGCACCATCGTAGTCGAAATATTAAAAGAAGGATAACTCTAGTGATTTGTTTTAAAATGGGTACTGATGACAGGAAGCAACAAACTGTATACTTATCAAAGCGTAAAAATTGAAGAAATGCCTATGGAACTTTATATGTATCATCTGAAGAACTTAACAAACTTCTTGCTTTTTTGCAAGAGTACTTTTGCAGCTCTAATATGCAACACTTTCAATGGAAAACAATTCTTGCACGCGGCCAATAGAAACAAAATCGAACATGAGTGATCTTGCCAAGGGAGGTAATAATAAAATATTTAGGGATAAATAACAACTTAATTCGGGCCCTGCAAACTAGAACTCAGTTGGCACATATAGAATAAAACATAATGGTGTAACTTAATGGTCATACAATGTGGCGAAACATCCTAATTCAGCACATACATGATCAGCAACAAACTACACTAGTGTGCAGACAGCACATAAGCGAGCACTGAAGCAAGGGTAACAGCTGAAGAAATAAATGCCACACACATCTTAATGTGAAATTCCAACCTCCTTGACATCTTAATCTCAATGTCGAGTATTGTGGTCTTCAACTTGTTGACCACCTGCTGGTTTTCAATCTCCATATTGCTCCTCTCAGTCCACAACTCTAAGTATGCCTGCTCCATTTCCTTTTTCTTTGTCTGCAACCTTGCTGCTCTTTCAGAGTCCAGGAGAGCCTGATCCCAGAGTTGTATTAATGAACGGCTAAGTACATGACCCCATGCTTCATCTATCCACATGAACCAGGAGCACCTATCAGGTCCCTGCATACAGATAAAATTGGGATGATATAGAAGAAATTTGAATGTCTGCAAATAGAAATGCAAAAAATTAGATAATTGAATCAGATACTAAATGCTCACCGAGAGAGGGCATCCAAGGAACCTCCTGCCTGTGGCCGCGTAGACGAAAGCCACTTTTCTTGTTGTACGCATTTCGTGATGGCACCTATGTGGAGAGGAAGTATCTATGCCGAAGAACTCTGGATCCGGAATCTCTTCTGGAGGTACATCGGCCGTAGGTTGGACGGGCTGCAGATCAGAAGATGAAAAGAGGTTAAGAAGAAGCGGATCTGACCAAAAAAAGGGGGGAGTGGGAAAAGAGAGGGGAGCAAACATAACTTGAAGAGATTCGCCTGATTCAACACTGCCATGGCTTAGATCTGTGGATATGACTGAGCTCCCTCCTTCTCCTGTGTAGCCATTCCTAGGCAAGCGCCATTGACGCTGAGAAAGAACAGCTCGTGGTTAATGCTCTGTTTTGCTAGAGACAAATGAGGAAGAAGGGGGTAGTGTGGTGGTGGGGGCAGGGAAGGGGGGCCCGTTACTGTGGAATACGGTGGGAGTGGAGGGGTGATAAATTGAGATACAGATGAATACGAGAGCAGTCATCGGTCCCACTCTGTCCTGGCCGACATGCAACGCGAATCCACATGCTAGCGCTAGCGGACTGGATTGCCACTGTGAATGGAACGCGAAGGACAAAAACTGCGTCCCTATTTTATTTTCTCAAAGATGTTGGTTAGCATTTTGGCACGGGCATATAAATGCCGCTCCCTCCGTCCCATAATACAAGAGCGTTTTTGACACTAACCAAGCCATGCAAGAGGTGGCCATCAAAAGAAACATGCAAGTACCGATTCTAAGGGAATGTACTACACAACAACAACAACAACAACAACAACAACAACAACAACAACAACAACAACAACAAAATATTGGCGCACAATCACACCAACAAACACTATGAAGGTACAAGTGACGATTATCCTACCAATGATTCATGCAACAGAAGTAGAGGAGGAGTTGGTGAAATTTCGCCGATTCCCGTAGCTAGGTTGTATCTCCCAGCCGTGAGAATTTCTTTGGAGTGATCCGTCGATCTAGTGTCGAAGAAGAATACACCTCCGAGGTATCCACACATGCTGATCTAGAGGTACTGCAGCACTCCGTGGATCTACACAAAGAACAATCAAAAGAACTAGAGGGTGACCCACATTGCATAGGCGCCCCCCTTGGCAATCAGGGGCCCAAAGCACCTACACCAGGCGCCTACAGCCTGCGGGGCTCCCTTGGCCAGCCTCTGGTGCCCCTGGCTTTATATTTCTCCAAAACCCTCCTTCAAATTACCGATGATTTTTTTGTCACGTAGAGACGCCGCCGCCATCATTTTTCGTTCAAAGGGTTGCTGGAGGCTAGGGTTTTCCTCTGAAGAGGACAATTCTTCACCAACACCACTGTCAACCCCTTCTCCATCACCACCATCATTCTTCCACAATGATGTGTGAGTAATCCGCTATAGGAACATGGGGTGGATGGGAATTGTATGTGATTTATCATGTATTAGACTTCATATTGATGTGGGGATGATTCCTAGTGTGAAAATTGTTTGAGAATTGATGTTGTTATGACTTTGCCGTGACCAATGCTTATTACTAGGACCCAAGTAATATGATTTTAGATCTGAACCATTATGTCTTTTATGTCTACTTTTTCATGATTGTAACTGCAAGTCATATGCACCTATTACAAATTTGATCCAGAGACCCTGAGACTGACTGACTAGTATATCAAAGGGAATGGCTTTGATTTGAGAATAACATGTACTCATAGTGTGTTAATGCATTGTTTCAGTTGACCCTAATGTCACTTTAATTACCTTTCGTTTTCTCTTAGTACCCCTTTACAAGGGAGGGTATGAGTGTAGACGAGAGTCAAGTTCTTGTTAAGCATGTCTCTCAAGTTATGGGATGCATGCCTACAATAAATCTAGAACATGACCTAGGAAGTGACCCGCATGGATTGTCTTTGGCATTTAGAAGTCATCCATGAAACATCCCAATATCCATCCCTATGCCTACATTTTAACGCTATTTTAAGTTACTTATACTTCACAATTGCTCATGAAACTGCTTTGTTGCATAAACAACTACAGCCACCATATTGTCATAGCTACTGAATCTCCTCCTTTGGGAGAACTACTTGATGGTCATTTTGCTATGTTAAAAGATAAGAAAATACTTGAAGATGAACCATCCGCTCCCACTTTGATAACACCACCTACTCCTATTTTGAGAACACCACCTACTCCAACCAATCCCCTAAACTTGAATTGTTATTTGCCAAAGCTATTAGAGAATGTGACACTGATAAAGATCCATATTCTTTGGAAAATTATTTAAAGGAAGAGATTTAGAAGACTTGTTTTTACCCGATGATGAATTTTCTGCCTCTCCTATATATCTTGAAGATGATGCTGATGGTTTTCCTATGGAACCAAAAGTTATTAAAATTTATGAAACTCTAAACTTTCACGGATTGGATAGTTAAAGTGTTTTTGATCATCTCCACAAAGTTGAAGATTTTGCTAGACTATTTAAGAAA